TTTCTCCTTTTCTTTCGTTTCTCCTCCCTCTCTCCCCCTTTCTTTCCCATTCACCCGCAAATGCAGTCTTGGGGCTGACAGAGTTGGGGTACTCTGAGCGCGAACTCCGGGAGCTGCTTTCCCGGAGCGGGGAGTTTCCGCGATGGCTCCGGGGGTCCAGGCCTGCAGCCTGGGGAAGAAGCTGGCTCCCGCTTCACTCGCCCCTTCTTGCTTGGTGGTGGCGAATCCCCGCCGGGCTGTCGCCAGTTTTCTCGGGATCAAGGGTGCTGGTTTCTTTCCCGACCCTTTGACTAGCCTGGGCTTCCCGGCTCCATCCCTGGGTCCAGCTGGGCAGCGGAGCCGGAGTCCCCGGAAGGCACTTCCCCAACTTTCCCTTTAGGCGATCTCCGCCGCCCTGCTTCGGCCTTCCACCTTCCCCAACTTCCATTCTCATTTCTTCCTCTTCTTCTTAAAATAATAAAACCCTCTGCTTTTCTTGAAGCTTTAATGCCCGTCTTTCCTCCCTCGACGTCTCAGCGGAGCAGGACTTCCCTTCCTCTAGCGCCCAGCTGAGGGGCAGGGAGTATCCCCGGCGCCGGGTCCCGCCGTCCCTCCATCGCCGCCTTGGGTCGCCTCGGCTGGAAGCAGTGGAACCCCTAGGGCTCCGCCGCAGCCTCTCGGGACGCGACCGCGGCCAGCAGAGTCCGGCCCGGTGGAGGCAGAGGGCGCAGCCGGGGACCCGATGCGCTCGCCTGGGCACAGAAAACCCGGCGCACGAAATGTGGTCTAGAGGTTCCTAACAAACCCAAACATGAAGTGGCTGCAATCTCTCTTTGGACTTACTGACCCCCAAAGAATCAAAACACAAGAAAACAAAACGAAAGAAAAATAATAAATTGTCCGAGCTAGCTCTCCTGATACTGTACTCGATTCGTTCATATATCGATCCCCTTATCTCTCTCGCCCTGTCCACCCTCCACTTGGATCCGTTTTTAACGATTTCTGAAATTTTATTAAAAGCATAAATTTAAAACCGGAGTCAGAGAGAAGCTTGAAAACCCGGTTGTCTCCGGAACTCAAAAAGAGGGGAGTCCCTGCCTTTATCAGTTTGATTTCCTCTGACAGTGTGCCCAAATTCTGAGGCTCCGCATCCCCATCATAGCCTACCAGGGTGGGAGGAGAGAGCAAGCAAGAAAGAAAAATTAAAAATATCTCCTCAACTGAAGTTGTCAGATTTCAACCTTAAAGCCCCCCCCCCCTTTTAAACCCCCAGAATAGTGAAGTCTCCCAGAGCCAGTCTAACTAAAAGTTAAAGAAAGCTCAGAAACCCGTTGACCGGAAATCTATGAGCAAATAGCTTAAAAAATATACATCCGTCGGGGTGTCAAGAAGCCCAAATTTTCTATCTGCAAAGCTTTAAAATGCATCTGGGGGTGTCCGCTCACCTCGTAGATGTCTTCGTACTTGACATTCTCCACGAGTTTCCAGAGCATGATGGCAGCCTGATCTCTAGGAGGTGAGTGCATTCATGTGAAGAGCAGATGTCTGGCTTCTCAGGACTCCGCTGTCTGTAATGATCCATCTATAATTGGAAATGGGGGATACACACCAAATCCGACGCTCCTCTCCCATCGCAACTTATATCTGTTGTCTCAAACAATAGGCTGGAGAAGTAAGCCTCAGCAGAGAGAAAAACATTATTGCACACACAGGACTTAGATACGACCTACAGACACAAACATATATATTATAAAGAAAGCATAAACACGTATTTACACGTAGATACCCACATTAGTTACATAAGCACCTCTGGGTCACGAATTCACACACATTTAAAGGAGAGATAGTTGTTTGAGATGATTAATACAAATACATACATTAAAAACCTGTACATTAAAATGATGAATCACTGTAAACAATAATAACTAAAGTTTTTTAGCAATTCATAACAAGAAATCAGGGGCAATAGCCCCTAATTTTCTATGTAGATTTTTCTAAAGGTGACTATTATTGGGATTTTAAAGCAGAATTTCATATTTGTTCAGGAGAAGAATATTTTGAAAACCAGAGTCTTTGATTTTGAGGGTTTTCAGTGCTGATAGCTACACCACTTTTAAAAAACAGTATTATCATTATAGAACTGAAAACCTAGTTCTGACAATGATTTCTAATATTTCTGGTCATTTTGCCTAAACATTTGGAAACTTAAATAGTGTGTGGAGGTTGTAGCCTATACTGCTTGTTGCTTTAAGGGTGGTTGTATATTTTCAACAGATTCTGTGTACTATTCTCCATTTTATAAAGTTGCTTTTTTTCACATTTTGGAAACAACAAATGCACACATTCACACAATGTTAATTTTGAGCCTTCTTAACGGAAGTGTGAGACATTTTATATTTTCATCTCTTGTCTATAATTTGTTATTTTAACCTGGAAGATTCAGAAAACGGGCACCTGAATCTTTGAGAAGGTTTAAGCTTAATAGTGGTTAAAGAGACGTTTTAGGATGCATGAGTTATTTTTGTTTGGTTGGGTTATAGAGCTGATTTTTCTTTTTAAATATATGAATTGTATAGTTTGTTTATAAAAGGAAAGGGTGAATAACAACAAGAACAAAGTTAACCAAACCTCATAAGTAAAGTCTTTTAAGACACAAGGTTTTTTAATTTCCTGAGGAATTCTATATTTACTACTACACCCTCCTCCCCACCTTTCCACCCCCTCTGTTTTCCTTCTCCTTTTCAGGGTGCAAAAGGTTCCCCGATACCAGAAGGAAGGCTCTGAGGAAGATCTTTGCCCCCGGGAAGGAAAATAGGAGGGAATGAGGAGGGTTAGGAAATTTGGGATGGAAGTTATTAAACATGATAAGAGTCAATCTGCGGAGGGCAATTGTCTTTAGACCCAGGATTTCGGTGCGCTCTCCAGTTCTGGCGTGGGCGGAGGCTCTGCAAACAGAAGGCTCCCAACAGCAGCGGAGGACAGTGATTTGATGAACACTGAGCAGACTACACTTACCGTGCTCAACGAACAATTCTGTAGATTTATTGTTGTTGGCATTATTATTATTATTATTATTATTATTATTATTTATTAATGTACGGTAAGTGAAACGAAAGAATCACAGAGGGGCTTCAGAGGGAACCTGAAAAGCAAACCCTTATTCACTTCCAGTTGGATTTGAAATGCAAACAGAAAGAAAAGAGAAGAAAGAAAGAGAAAAATAGAATATTGCAACATGATTTTTGTCTGAGCATCTCTTTAGACACAAATCACTCTCTATTTGCAATTGACATTTGTGCCTTTATACATTATAATCTTTTTATACACAGTCCCTCCCTCCCTCTCTCCCTCCCTCTCTCCCTCCCTCCTTCCCTCCTTCCCTTCCTCCCTCCTTCTCTCCTCTTTCCCTCTCCCTTCTGTTTTCTCTTTCGTTCTAGCCCCTTCCTTCCCTCCCTTTCTTCTCTTCCCTTCCTCTCTTTCCTCTCCTTTAAATCCTAACACCTTAAACCGTACAGACCCTGTATGGTCGTCTGATGTCATCGGAGATGTCTCTTTTATCCCCAGAGTTGGTTAGGAGACAGGAACTCATTCTTAATGTCCTTGTGTCATGGGACTTAAAATGGGTTCCACACCCCTTTTAGGACTGAAATCAGTCCCAGGTCCATACACTGAAAGATAGATACTCTAGATTTGGAAATTCAAATTCTTGTTACACAAAGTTATTAATAGAAATAATTCTCACTTCCCTTTCCAATTAGCAACTCTTTCATCTTCTAAAGAACATTTCACCCTAAACAAAAATAATTTGGAAAAATCTTAATTTTTTTCTTTAAATATGTTTACTGTGTCTTAAATAATTTTGGGGTATATCATTGATTAATCTGAAATAAACTCTAACTAAGGTATAATAAAAGCAAAGCAATCCAGAGGCATAATTTTACATATGAAATTATCTAAATATCTAGTATGCTTTGTTAGTATAACTATTCTGTATCTTTATTTATGTAGAATTTAAAGTTTTCAAATGTAGTTTTATGCTAACATTAAATATTTTTAAAATAGAAACGTCTTTGATATTTCTTAAAAGTTATCCAACTTCATTAATAATAAACCTTGTTTTATTAAGGACAAACCAAACCTAAAATACATGCACATGTACATGAAGAATTGCCCAGAGAAATGCCTAGCCATAATAGAAATCCTAGTTAATTCTGATATGTAGGCATTATTTGAAAAATCTTACAAATTTCAAGGCAAACCTTTCCCAGGGAGCGATCCCTAGGTCATTGAACGGGCAACAGCGCCCTCTGTAGGAATTTTGTAGAAGCAAAAGCAGACTAGCCTTTTAATTTTTTTCCCACAATCCCTCACTCCTAGGTTTTTGAAAGCCTGTTATTGCTAAGAATATTTTAAAAGTTCAATTCTTAGCACATCCATTAATTTTAGAAACCATTTAAACAGTTCAAGCACTTCAAAAATATACCAACAAAAACTCAACCTCTACTGAGAAAAAAAAATTTCTTAAGTTGAGCCGTTTACTCTCTTCCATTCTACTGAATTTCGCTTTAACACCTATCCATGCCTCTCAGGAAAAGATTCCCTCACCAAGTCAATAACACTTAAACGCGAAGATGAAAGAGTTCTGAATTTATAAAGGAAGTTGAGTAAAACAGGCCTTTTCGTCATTTTGCCCTGCTGTATAGGGCCGTTTGTTTTTCAGGCAGACGCGCTCACCTGAGTGGGAGCGCCGTGGAGACCGCGTGGTTAGCACACTCGTACTTTCTCCTTTCTTCACATTTATTTCAGTTTTTAACAGCGAGAAGGGTGTTATTAACACCTTTCCTTTTTCCGTTACAGATAAAGGGAATGTTGTCCAATAAACCTTTAGAACCAATATTCAGAAGCAAGAGCGACTAGCATGGAGCCCTCTGCTGGCAATTTTTGGAGTAGGTTTATGTCTTTAAAATGTTAGAACTTGCTGCATTCTTCTTTCTTCTAAAGATCTAATCACTACTTACATGAATTTCCTTAACTCCCACTATTCCTCGGGTTGGCATTGTAGTTTAAGGTTATCTCTCTTCCAAGGACGTCCCAGTGGTCCATTTTTCTTTTTCTTTTCTATTATGTAACCTCCCCGAATTGCTTTCTCACCTTCTCCAAACACAAAAACAATACAAGAAAAAAAAAGCTAACTCTTTAAAAATAGGATGATTGGACCAATGTTAAGCCTTGACTTTACTCATTTCAGATTGGAAAAGCCACTTAACAGCCTGAAGCATTGTTTATTAAGCTATGAGTTGAGAATGGTTGTGCTGTAAATTACACTTCTCAGAGAATATCTATCTTTTACTTGTGAACTTTGCACACATTTTAATTCCTTACCATACTCTCCAAATACTGAGCTGGGTGCCCGGAAAGCAGAAGTTCCTATGAGCTGGGGACTTCCTATGCTAGTTAGAAAGTGGAGACCCATTAGGGAGAAAGCAGAGTTGAACCCACAACCTCTATTCTCACCTCACATACTTAACACTTCTCCTCAGGCTCATGGTGCTTAGTTCCTTCTGAAATTAGAAAGAGTAATTTTGAATTATTAAAGTTTTCCAGAATTATTTTTCCTGAATTTATAAACAAGCAAAGAGAGAGACAGAAAGATGAAGAGAGAATCTTTTCATCGCAAGCTTTATGTTCATGGACATGAACATCATAGGACAGACAGGGTGATGTCATGTTTTACTGTGACAGTATCATTTCTTATTGTCCTACCATGCTTCTGTCTTGAAACTTGCTCATGATCATAGTTTTGGGATGGCCTTTGTTGCATATCCTTCACATAAAATTTTAAAACATTACTGTTGAGGGGCTGGAGAGATGGCTTAGCGGTTAAGAACACTGGTTGTTCTTGCAGAAGACCCGGTTCAAATCCCAGAACCCACATGGCAGCTAACAACTCTTCGTAACTCCAGTTCCAGGGGATCCAACGGGTCAGCCTCTTCTGTCCTCTGAGGGCATTGTTCCATGCTGGTGCACTTACCTTCATGCAGGCAATATACTCATACACATAAAATAAAAAATAATAAAGTAAAATTAAAAAAAAATACTATTGAATGGGTAGTAATGCAGTCCAAGCTCTCTGATCTACAGGGCTTGGAGATCACAGAGCTCTTAGTGGTTTGGGCATCAAATAAAAGAAGACGGAAGAATATTTGTCCAAGATTATGTTTATAAACTGAAATTTGGATGTAATTATATCTAGATGGACATTTTATGATTATACAGACAATAGAAAACGCTGTAAAGGATTTTTCATTCTGAGACAGCATCTAGATACATACCCCACGGATGGCCTTGAACTTGCGATTCTGCTGCCTCAGTCTCCTGAGAGCTGGGACCCCCAGGTGTGGGCCACCAGAAATAGCACGTTTGTGAACTTTTAAAGAAATATTGAGTTGGAATCACCTGTAAAAATATAAATAATTGGAACTGAAAATTGTTACTTGTTTTAGGTTTTCAAGGAAAAATCATGATTTAATTAAACATTTTAGATGTTTTGAACT